CTCTCTCTCTCTCTCTTTATATATATATATATATATATATATATATATATATATATATATATATATATATATATATATATATATATATATTGCGCAGTAACTTGTCAGCTCGTTCCTTTCACCTGCCCTACCTGGGTATTGTACCTGAGCCTCACTACCTGCAGGGCTCTCTCTCTCTCTCTCTCTCTCTCTCTCTCTCTCTCTCTCTCTCTCTCTCTCTCTCTCTCTCTCTCTCTCTCTCTCTCTCTCTCATTCTGTTTTTAATTAGCATTCATTATAATTTTTTTGCTGCCCACTCGTCTTCTGGTGGGTCTCTCTCTCTCTCTCTCTCTCTCTCTCTCTCTCTCTCTCTCTCTCTCTCTCTCTCTCTCTCTCTCTCTCTCTCTCTCTCTCTCTCTCTCTCTCTCTCTCTCTCTCTCTCTCTCTCTCTCTCTCTCTCTCTCTCTCTCTCTCTCTCTCTCTCTCTCTCTCTCTCTCTCTCTCTCTCTCTCTGTACCGTCTTGATATTTGTACTTGTTAGTATTCTTCCCGTTTCCCTTTACCTGGCCTCTACCTGACCATGCCTCTAGGGGTTAGCCTCTCTCTCTCTCTCTCTCTCTCTCTCTCTCTCTCTCTCTCTCTCTCTCTCTCTCTCTCTCTCTCTCTCTCTCTCTCTCTCTCTCTCTCTCTCTCTCTCTCTCTCTCTTTCTCTCTCTCTCTCTCTCTCTCTCTCTCTCTCTCTCTCTCTCTCTCTCTCTCTCTCTCTCTCTCTCTCTCTCTTTTCTTTACTTCCACTTTCATTGTCAAACTAGTATAGCATCATCACTATCACCATCACAAACACCATCATCCTCCACCTTCACCATCCCTTTCACCAACATCCTCCACCATCACCAGCCTATCCTCCACCTTCACCATCCCTTTCACCAACATCCTCCACCATCACCAGCCTATCCTCTCACCTTCACCATCCCTTTCACCAACATCCTCCAACATTACCAGCCTATCCTCCACCCTCACTATCCCTTTCACCATCACCAGCCTTCACCTCCCACCTCCTCCCCTCTGGGGTTTATATTCAAACATCATTCATTTTTGTTGAGAAGTTTTGGGACGTAACATCAAAAGACAGAGGGTAAAACTTGGCCCCTTGACACGTGAGGATCAGTCGGGGCGCCTAACTTTACCCTCCCTCTTGTCTTGACATTAACGTGATGACTCAAATCTCTGCCTGTAGCTGCCTTGTGTATTATTTAAAGGTTCGTATAGCGAGTTAGCCGGGTTTGTTGAGTGAATAATTTAGGTTTGTTGAGTGAATGAGGGTTAGGCTAGGTTGAGGGAGGTTAGGTTAGGATAGGATTAGTTAAGGGAAGTTAGGTTAGACTAGTGTTGGTTAAGATAAGTTAAATTAGGATAGTTTAGGTTAGGTTAGGGTAATTTAGGTTAGGTTAGGATAGGATTAGTTAAGGGAGGTTAAGTTAGACTATGTTTGGTTAAGATAAGTTAAATTAGGATAGTTTAGGTTAGGTTAGGGTAATTTAGGTTAGGTTAGGATAGGATTAGTTAAGGGAAGTTAAGTTAGACTAGTGTTGGTTAAGATAAGTTAAATTAGGATAGTTTAGGTTAGGTTAGGGTAATTTAGGTTAGGTTAGGATAGGATTAGTTACGGGAGGTTAAGTTAGACTAGGGTTGGTTAAGATAAGTTAAATTTGGATAGTTTAGGTTAGGGTAGGTTAATTTAGATAAGATTAAATTAAATTAGATAAGATAAGATAAGATTAGGTGCCTGGCTACTACTGCTGCTTGCTTGAGGCTCTGCTTTAGCTGGGAGTCTCACCCTCAGACGGGCCCACGAGTACCTCTGGTTTTTCCTTCTTCACCAAGGGACTCAAAGTGGGTCCTTCTCCTTGAGTTTCGGAATCATTTCGTTCATTTTAATTATATATCAGTTTAGAAACGACGGTGTAATTAAAGGTGCAGGTACAGGCATGAGAGCAGGTTCATAGACAGTACAAGGACAGGTACAGATACAATTACAGGTGAAGGTAGAGACACAAGTACAGGTGGAGATACAATTACAGGTAAAGATGCAAGTACAGATACATAAACAAACACAGAATTACAAAATGATAACAATAACACATCCACTCCACAAGACCCTATGTAAACACCATGACCATTATAATCACATCAGTAGTTGTAAGTCAGTAAGGTCACGTTCTCATGCCCTCAGGTAGAGAAAGAAGTCAACTCATAAACTCGGGAGATTATGTTAGTACGAGGGATATTTGATGAGGACTGTCGCGTTGTCTGTGTGTGTGTGTGTGTGTGTGTGTGTGTGTGTGTGTGTGTCTGTGTGTGTGTGTGTGTGTGTCTCAGTAACCCACACTTAGGTATAATAGAGGGGAAAGTATTTTACATTTCCCAGGGTCGGCTCTAAAGGTTGTGTCGCCATCTTCATACACAAATTACTTTCCGTGTTAGAGTGCGTGAGTGTATCGTGTTACCTGGTGAGAGGGACTGTGTTACATTAGCCTCTCTTGTGTCGGCACCAGTACAAACTTTTACCTATTGACGTTTTACAAAAGAAAGCATTCGAGTTTTTCTGTAGCCTGACGGTGAAGTGAGTCTTTTCCCTTTGATATACAAATTACTTTTGCTTTTGTTACGGGGCGTGTGTGTGTGTCTGTCAGAATGAGGAGTCTGAACATAATTGAGAAGGCAGATTAGATCAGACACTTTTTAGACTAGTTCCCCCGGCGTGACTCACCACCGTTTCATGCATACACAATCATCTACCCACACCACGAATCTCTCTTTCCCACAAAGTGTATCATGGTGCTGTAATATCACATGTAAACACAGTACCAGGATGTAGGCCATTTTCCACTTGCAAATCATTACTTTGGTCCAAACACACTTCTCGCGGGTGTCTTGTGAAGCAGCGCGTTTTGTGTGTCGTAACAGAGTCGCAATTAGTCGTAATGAGTGTTGAGTGAAGACAAAGACGCGCTCTCCCTGCCAGTCGGTGAGTCGTTATGTTGTATTTCGTATATATTATGAATCAGGTTTCAGGCAGCTGGATTATGTGTTGGTGAGGTAGGTAGATTATACGACTACTGTGACGACTTCTGCTACGACTACGACCACGACTACAACATTGACTAAGATTATTACTTCTATGACGACTACGACTACGACTACAACAACTAAAACTACAACTATGACTACCGCGCTGAAGGGGTAGAAAAAAATACCCAGTACTGTACATTTTACAGGTGAACAAAAAACAAACACCAAAAAATAAAAATCTATAAAAATCATGATATAAATTTTTGTGTACAATTCAAACAGTAATAATTTCCATGCACACATTAATAAATAAAAATGAACGCGTCAAGAACATATCAACATAGAATATTTAGAAATACTATTATTACATTTATTACTATCTGTACCTAATAAACTACTGTAATATTGTAACACCTGAAACAACACAACAATGAAACAGGTGAAATAAGCTGAAGAGTAAGCTTATCTTCAGGTGATGTCAGGTGTATCAGTCTACGGTACCAAAACACATGAAAAGGTGGCAAACAATTAGGTGCCATTAATCCGATGATATTAGAAATTATTTGCTCAAACAACCCGACGTAAAATGAGGGAATACAATCAGTCCGATACAAAAAGAAATTAACAATAAAAAACGAACCATTGATAAAAACAGAGTTACAGTACAAGAGTGTTAAACTATATATAAAAACCATTAAATTCTTGCTAAAACATACTGGGAAATTGATAACTAAATTGTAGGTAAAAGAGATTAAAAAAAATCAATAGAAAAGTTAAAAATAAATAATAAATATTGTTATATGTATCTGAAAAAAACACCTGGCAATTAATTTGATTACCTGAGGCTTAATCCTGGAAGGGCTAAGTGTGTGTGTTAACTATTATACTGAAGTCATGTGAGGTTATGGGTCAGAGGTCAGTTATGTGGATGTGGGTGACAGAGACGAGAGATTTACCTGTGTGGTCAGAGGTACAGTGTTGAAGGTTACCTGTCATGACGTGTTGACCAGGTGTTGAAAGGATCCCAGGTGTGTGTGTGTGTGTGTGTGTGTGTGTGTGTGTGTGTGTGTGTGTTGGAAAAGTGTACATTATGTGTTTACGTTTAATAACAAATTTAGAAGTAATCAGAAGGAAAGTTTACTCAAGAATATCCCAGAGGTTTTTGCTAATGTAAAAGTTTCGTTTACTTAAATGACAGAGTTTGTTATATTAACTTATCTTGAAAATTTAAGGGACTTGAGGTAGTGGAGATAATTTATTGCAAACTTCCTCAAAATTCAACGAAAAATATATCATTAGTTATATCTTAAACCTAGTCATCTAAGGGATCACCTAAGGCACCCTACCTTATATATCCTGAAGATTAACCACCGTAACTCTAACTGGGATGGGTTTGATTGGCATTAAGGTAGTTAAACTTCAGGTGAAATAAACTGTAGTGTCTAATCTACAGGTGAAATAAATTGGGGCGTCTAATCTACAGGTGAAGTAGACATAGGTGCCAATTCTGCAAATAATCCCATTTGAGTATATATTCTCCAACAACCCCCTGCCCCTCTCCACCCCCTCCCCACCCCCCTGCCCCCCCCCCTCCTTCAATAAAAAAAAGTTAACTCCCTATGCCATTAAGAATGAACACACCCAGAGACACCTGGTTTAAGTTTGCCTCGGTTTCATAACTGAGGACCGTGTCTGGAGGCTTTGAGTTTAAATAAATGATGAAATATTCGGATCGTGTGACGGACCACTGAAGAGGAACGAGTCGTCATAAGAATTCTGATAGAAAACGGATGTAAAGGCAAAAAGAAGGAGGGGGAACTATCATACCTATAAAAAAATATTCCCAAACTTTATAAAAATACGTAAGGCAGCACCGTTTACCTAAGTGTCAAAGGTTATGTAATAAATGTAATCAAGACTACATTGTAATTGTAGTGTAATGTAATGTACTAATAAAGGTCACTTGTCTTGTTCTCGCCCACAGCTCCTGACCGTAATGTCATCGACCGTACTCCCAGGGACCCAGAACCAAAATATAACATGGCCTTAGCCTTTAGGGAATCTAGGTGAGTAATGATACCATGTTACATTTGTCGTCCCAAGCCCACAACTCTCTCTCTCTCTCTCTCTCTCTCTCTCTCTCTCTCTCTCTCTCTCTCTCTCTCTCTCTCTCTCTCTCTCTCTCTCTCTCTCTCTCTCTCTCTCTCTCTTTAACTTCAGATGATCGATTGGTATCTCATGGTAAGATAGTGCGCATATTTTTGTTGTTGTTGTTTGTGTTGTTTGTGTTAAGATAGAGAGAGTGGAGAATGATTGAGTTGCGACACAATATAACATTTGAAGACCTGGAAAGATGTTAGTGTTGGTGTATATTGTGTTTCTGTTTTGTTGGCGGTATTCTTTCTTTCTTTCTTTCTTTCTTTCTTTCTTTCTTTCTCTCTCTCTCTTTAATTTTCATTCAGGCTATCTCACTCCTTTACTCTATTTTCTCCTTCCATTCTTCTTCCCTATTTATCCAGCCCTTCCTCTCTCCTTCCCTTTCGTCTCACCCTTCACCCTCCTTCTCTCCCTCTCACCCCTCCCCCTCACCCCCTCACCCCCCCACTCACCCCCTCACCCCCCCCACTCACCCCCCTCACCGTCCCTCACCCCCCTCACCCTCTCTCTCACCCCCCCCTCACCCCCTCCCCTCACCCCCCTCACCCTCCACTTAGCCCCCTCACCTCCCTCTGTCCCCTCACCCCTCCTCCCCCCCCACTCACCCCCCTCACCCCCACTCACCCCCTCACCCCCCCCCCACTCACCCCCCTCACCCCCTTACCCTCTCTGCCCTCTCCACCCTCTCTACCCTCTCACCCTCTCTCCTCACCCCTCGTTCCTCCCTCTCACCCCCTCACCCTCCCTCTCACCCTCTCACCCCTCCCCTCACCCCCCTCACCTCCACCCCACCCCCTCACCTCTCTCTGCCCCTACACACCCCCACTCACCCCCTCCACCTCCCTCTCACCCCCTCACCCTCCCTCTCACCCCCCTCACCCCTCCCTCCCACCCCCACCCTCCCTTACCCCTCCACCTCTCTCCTCACCCCCCTCACACCTCCCTCTCATCCCCCTCACCCTCCACTCACCCCCCCTCACCCCCTCCCACACCCCCTCACCCCCTCACCCCCCACTCACCCCTCACCCTCCCCTCCACCCCTCACCCCCACTCACCCCTCCACCCCCCTCACCCCTCACCCCCCCACTCCCACCCCCTCACCCTCCCTCACCCCTCACCCCCACCCACCCCTCCCACCCCCCCCCTTCCACTCACCCCCCACTCACCCTCTCACCCTCTCACCCCTACCCCTCACCCCCACTCACCCCCTCACCCCCCACTCACCCCCTCACCCTCCCTCACCCCTCACCCCACCCCTCACCCCCTCACCTCCCACTCACCCCCTCACCCCCCCCCTCACCCCTCACCCCCACTCTCCCTCTCACCCTCCCTCTCACCTCATCTTCTCCCATGACCTCTAATTTCCATCAATGGCTCTTTCCCTCACCTTTATCTCTCCCTGTACCCCTTCCTCTCTCCCTCAGGCTCTCCCTCAGGCTCTCCCTGGGGTCGTAAGTGTCCGGAAGCCTCGTTGTTTCACGCGTCAGGCGAGATGGCACAAGACAAATTGTGTTTTTTGCCTCGCGGTGTGGAATGCCTGGCTGGCTTTCTTCTGGGTAATGTTGTAAAATGGTGGCGTGTGGTGCATATGTTGTGTGTGTGTGTGTGTGTGTGTGTGTGTGTGTGTGTGTATTATAATTTCGACTAAAGTCATACCTTCCACACATCACACACACACACACACACACACACACTCAGATGACAGTATTAATCAGCTCTACTGCTCGCTTACCTGTGTGGCTAATCGTCTCTCAATTACTCGCTGCGACACATCTCATTAGACACAGGTAAGAGCACCCCTTCACCCCCGTCAGGTGCGTCATTACTACAGTAAATCGTGACTAATCTCATTACTGCAAAACTATTCAACCAGTAAATCGGTTTGATTATCACCGAATGCCAGGTGAGTGCCAGTGTGTCAGGTGAGTGTCAGTGTGTCAGGTGAGTGCCAGTGTGTCAGGTGAGTGTCAGTGTGTCAGGTGAGTGCCAGTGTGTCAGGTGAGCAGTGTCAGGTGAGTGCCAGTGTCAGGTGAGCCAGTGTGTCAGGAGTGTCAGTGTGTCAGGTGAGTGCCAGTGTGTCAGGTGAGTGTCAGTGTGTCAGGTGAGTGCCAGTGTGTCAGGTGAGTGCCAGTGTGTCAGGGTGAGTGCCAGTGTGTCAGGTGAGGTCAGTGTGTCAGGTGAGTGCCAGTGTGTCAGGTGAGTGCCAGTGTTCAGGTGAGTGCCAGTGTGTCAGGTGAGTGCCAGTGTCAGGTGAGTGCCAGTGTGTCAGGTGAGTGCCAGTGTGTCAGGTGAGTGCCAGTGTGTCAGGTGTGAGTGCCAGTGTGTCAGGTGAGTGTCAGTGTGTCAGGTGAGTGTCAGTGTGTCAGGTGAGTGCCAGTGTGTCAGGTGAGTGCCAGTGTGTCAGGTGAGTGTCAGTGTGTCAGGTGAGTGCCAGTGTGTCAGGTGAGGTCAGTGTGTCAGGTGAGTGTCAGTGTGTCAGGTGAGTGCCAGTGTGTCAGGGTGAGTGCCAGTGTGTCAGGTGAGTGCCAGTGTGCGGTGAGTGTCAGTGTGTCAGGTGAGTGCCAGTGTGTCAGGTGAGTGCCAGTGTGTCAGGTGAGTGCCAGTGTGTCAGGTGAGGTCAGTGTGTCAGGTGAGTGCCAGTGTGTCAGGTGAGTGCCAGTGTGTCAGGTGAGTGTCAGTGTCAGGTGAGTGCCAGTGTGTCAGGTGAGTGCCAGTGTGTCAGGTGAGTGTCAGTGTGTCAGGTGAGTGCCAGTGTGTCAGGTGAGTGCCAGTGTGTCAGGTGAGTGCCAGTGTGTCAGGTGAGTGCCAGTGTGTCAGGTGAGTGTCAGTGTGTCAGGTGAGTGCCAGTGTGTCAGGTGAGGTCAGTGTGTCAGGTGAGTGTCAGTGTGTCAGGTGAGTGTCAGTGTGTCAGGTGAGTGTCAGTGCAGGTGAGTGCCAGTGTGCCAGGTGAGTGCCAGTGTGTCAGGTGAGTGCCAGTGTGTCAGGTGAGTGTCAGTGTGTCAGGTGAGTGTCAGTGTCAGGTGAGTGCCAGTGTGTCAGGTGAGTGCCAGTGTGTCAGGTGGTGCCAGTGTGTCAGGTGAGTGCCAGTGTGTCAGGTGAGTGCCAGTGTGTCAGGTGAGTGTCAGTGTGTCAGTGAGTGCCAGTGTGTCAGTGAGTGCCAGTGTGTCAGGTGAGTGCCAGTGTGTCAGGTGAGTGTCAGGCAGTGAGTGTCAGTGTCAGGTGAGTGCCAGTGTGTCAGGTGAGTGTCAGTGTGTCAGGTGAGTGTCAGTGTGTCAGGTGAGTGTCAGTGTCAGGTGAGTGTCAGTGTGCAGGTGAGTGCCAGTGTGCCAGGTGAGTGCCAGTGTGTCAGTGAGTGCCAGTGTGTCAGGTGAGTGCCAGTGTGTCAGGTGAGTGTCAGTGTGTCAGGTGAGTGCCAGTGTGTCAGGTGAGTGTCAGTGTGTCAGGTGAGTGTCAGTGTGTCAGGTGAGTGCCAGTGTGTCAGGTGAGTGTCAGTGTGTCAGGTGAGTGTCAGTGTGTCAGGTGAGGTCAGTGTGTCAGGTGAGTGCCAGTGTGTCAGGTGAGTGCCAGTGTGTCAGGTGAGTGTCAGTGTGTCAGGTGAGTGTCAGTGTGTCAGGTGAGTGTCAGTGTGTCAGGTGAGTGCCAGTGTCAGGTGAGTGTCAGTGTGTCAGGTGAGTGCCAGTGTGTCAGGTGAGTGTCAGTGTGTCAGGTGAGTGCCAGTGTGTCAGGTGAGTGTCAGTGTGTCAGGTGAGTGCCAGTGTGTCAGGTGAGTGTCAGTGTCAGGTGAGTGCCAGTGTGTCAGGTGAGTGCCAGTGTGTCAGGTGAGCCAGTGTGTCAGGTGAGTGCCAGTGTGTCAGGTGAGTGTCAGTGTGTCAGGTGAGTGCCAGTGTGTCAGGTGAGTGTCAGTGTGTCAGGTGAGTGCCAGTGTGTCAGGTGAGTGTCAGTATATCAGGTGAGTGCCAGTGTGTCAGGTGAGTGCCAGTGTGTCAGGTGAGTGTCAGTATATCAGGTGAGTGCCAGTGTATCAGGTGAGTGTCAGTGTGTCAGGTGAGTGTCAGTATATCAGGTGAGTGCCAGTATATCAGGTGAGTGTCAGTATATCAGGTGAGTGCCAGTATATCAGGTGAGTGCCAGTATATCAGGTGAGTGTCAGTATATCAGGTGAGTGCCAGTATATCAGGTGAGTGTCAGTATATCAGGTGAGTGCCAGTGTCAGGTGAGTGCCAGTATATCAGGTGAGTGTCAGTATATCAGGTGAGTGCCAGTATATCAGGTGAGTGTCAGTATATCAGGTGAGTGCCAGTGTGTCAGGTGAGTGTCAGTATATCAGGTGAGTGTCAGTATATCAGGTGAGTGCCAGTATATCAGGTGAGTGTCAGTATATCAGGTGAGTGTCAGTGTATCAGGTGAGTGTCAGTATATCAGGTGAGTGCCAGTATATCAGGTGAGTGCCAGTATATCAGGTGAGTGCCAGTATATCAGGTGAGTGCCAGTATATCAGGTGAGTGTCAGTATATCAGGTGAGTGTCAGTATATCAGGTGAGTGCCAGTATATCAGGTGAGGTCAGTATATCAGGTGAGTGCCAGTATATCAGGTGAGTGCCAGTATATCAGGTGAGTGTCAGTATATCAGGTGAGTGTCAGTATATCAGGTGAGTGCCAGTATATCAGGTGAGTGTCAGTATATCAGGTGAGTGCCAGTATATCAGGTGAGTGCCAGTATATCAGGTGAGTGCCAGTATATCAGGTGAGTGTCAGTATATCAGGTGAGTGCCAGTATATCAGGTGAGTGTCAGTATATCAGGTGAGTGCCAGTATATCAGGTGAGTGTCAGTATATCAGGTGAGTGCCAGTATCAGGTGAGTGTCAGTATATCAGGTGAGTGCCAGTATATCAGGTGAGTGTCAGTATATCAGGTGAGTGCCAGTATATCAGGTGAGTGCCAGTATATCAGGTGAGTGCCAGTATATCAGGTGAGTGTCAGTATATCAGGTGAGTGCCAGTATATCAGGTGAGTGCCAGTGTGTCAGAGTGTCAGTATATCAGGTGAGTGCCAGTATATCAGGTGAGTGTCAGTATATCAGGTGAGTGTCAGTATATCAGGTGAGTGCCAGTATATCAGGTGAGTGTCAGTATATCAGGTGAGTGCCAGTATATCAGGTGAGTGTCAGTATATCAGGTGAGTGCCAGTATATCAGGTGAGTGCCAGTATATCAGGTGAGTGCCAGTATATCAGGTGAGTGTCAGTATATCAGGTGAGTGCCAGTATATCAGGTGAGTGCCAGTGTGTCAGGTGAGTCAGTATATCAGGTGAGTGCCAGTATATCAGGTGAGTGTCAGTGTGTCAACTGGAGATCAAATAATTGGAAAAATGGTCATTAGCGATGAGTCGTATTACTAATTAATTCATTGGACAACAACGCTTTGGCTCCGGCTCAATAGAACATATGTATCCGACTAATGTTACGGCGTTAAGTTCCAATACATATTTATTTTTTTAGCATATCGAGTTTCTTGACCGTATTTCATGTTGTTGCCATTTTTTTTTGTTTCTTGACCGTATTTTCTGCTTTTTTGTGTTTGGGTGTTGTTTTTTTGTTAGTTTTTTGTTCACTTGAAATAAATAAGAACACCTGATACTTCTTAATACTGTTTGTTATAAAAAATCCAAGTAAAATATATCTGCTGTGATTTGATAGCGACTGGGATCATGGTATGCCAAATGGGTTTACGATATATTAGTGTCTTCTTTGCTTCTGGGACAACAAGTCAACACTTGAAAGGTTATATGGTAATTGGCAGTGCAGTAATCAATGGGCAATTATATGGGAAAGAGGTGATTTGCTAGGGAGGTTGCCTACATAGAGAGGGAGATGGAGAGAGGAGAGAGAGGGGGGTGGAAAGAGAGAGAGGAAGAGTAGAGAGAGAGGGAGAAAAGAGAGAGAGAGAGACAGATGGACACACACACACACACACACACACACACACACACACACACACACACACACACACACACACACACACACATAGACAGACAGACAGACAGACAGACAGACAGACAAAGACCAGAAGACAGATTTCACAACCATCACCACCGCCAATACAGACTCAAGTACTCCAACACACACACTCAATATCGACCTAATTATCGCCATTAACTCAGCCGTAACAACAATAACTCATTAAAAAATCTGCCACGTGAAGAAAAAATGATAATAATTAATTAGACAAAGACATATCAATCCACAACGTTCCCTAATAAGGATATTTTTTTCTTAGACAGACATTCAATCATAAATAAACGGCATTAGGGTCCAAAATAATCTATAGACGATTTATTTAACACGCGAGGGAAGCGGTAGACTCACTCTGGTTAATTCCTTTATCATAATTACAACCTTTACACCTGACCTTATCACCTCACCTGTCCACCACTCACCCCACCTCCACCCCACCTCACCCCACTCCCACCCCACCTCCCTCCCACCACTCCACCCCCTCCCACCCCACCTCACCCACTCCACCCCACCCCACCCCATTCACCCACCCCACCCTACCCCACCCCACCCCACCCCTACCCACCCTACCCACTTGACAGACGCAACGAGGCGGAGGTAAAACGATATTTAATGTATATGATGGATATATTTAGCTGTTTATATAATGTGTTTATTAATTTATTCAGTTGTATATTTATTCATGTGTTTAGACGTTGTTGTTTATGTTTAGTTTTGTGTCTGTCTGTCTGTCTGTCTGTCTGTCTGTCTATCTATCTATCTATTTATCTATCTACTCCTCCTCCTTTTCCTCCTCCTCCTCCTCCTCCTCCTCCTCCTCCTCCCCTCCTCCTCCTCTTCCTCCTCCTCCTCCTCTTCCTCCTCCTCCTCCACCTCCTCCTCCACCTCCTCCTCCTCCTCCTCCTCCTCCTCCTCCCCTCCACCTCCACCTCCACCTCTCCTCCTCCTCCTCTCCTCCTCCTCCTCCTCCTCCTCCTCCTCCTCCTCCACCTCCACTCACCTCCACCTCCTCCTCCTCCTCCTCCTCCTCCTCCTCCTCCTCCTCCTCCTTCCTCCTCCTCCTCCTCCTCCTCCTCCTCCTCCTCCTCCTCCACCTCCTCCTCCTCCCTCCCTCCTCCTTATGCCCACGGTGAGTGCAAATTCTCTACGATGTTATGAGAATAAGAGTATTTTTCATCAGTTTAAAACCCAGGTGGGGCGCCAATACTAAGACAGGTAAAAGGACAGGTAAAAGGACAGGTAAAAGGACAGGTAGGTAGGTATTCCTGTCTTTACCTGTCTGGGCTACGTGACACCTGGCCCACTTAGCTGACGCCGTGAGTTGACCTTGCAAATGTCTTGGAGTCTATGTTTGGGGGTGGGTGGTGGGGGGGTTGGGGAGGGTGGGGAGTTTTGACGAGTGTGTGTAGGGGAAGAGGTTAGTGTAAGGGGGAGGAGGAGGGGGAGGGGAGAAGGGGAGGGGGAGGAAGGGGGAGGGGAGGAAGGGGGGAGGGGAGGGGGAGGGGGAGGAAGGGGAGGGGGAGGAAGGGGGAGGGGAGGAAGGGGAGGGAGGGAAGGGGAGGGGGGAGGAAGGCATGGAGAATTTACGAGAGATTGATAGGGTGTGTGTGTGTAGGTAGGGGAGTGTGTGTGTGTAGGTAGGGGGAGGTGTGTGTGGGGGGAGTGTGTGTGTGGGTGGGGGTGTGTGTGTGGTGGGGGTGTGTGTGTGGGTGGGGAGTGTGTGTGTGGGTAGGGGAGTGTGTGTGTAGGTAGGGGGAGTGTGTGTGTAGGGGGAGGTGTGTGTGTAGGTAGGGGAGGTGTGTGTGTAGGGGAGTGTGTGTAGGGAGGGGGGGAGTGTGTGTAGGTAGGGGAGTGTGTGTGGTAGGGGAGTGTGTGTGTGTAGGTAGGGGAGTGTGTGTGTGTGGAGGGGGGAGGTGTGTGTAGGTAGGGGGGAGGTGTGTGTGTAGGGTAGGGGGAGTGTGTGTAGGTAGGGGGAGGTGTGTGTGTGAGGTAGGGGGTGTGTGTGTAGGTAGGGGGAGTGTGTGTGTGTGTAGGGGGAGTGTGTGTGGTAGGGGAGTGTGTAGGTAGGGGAGTATGTGTGTGTAGGTAAGGGAGTGTGTGTGTGTAGGTAGGGGGGAGGTGGGAGTATGTGTGGGTAGGTAGGGGAGTATGTGTGTGTAGGTAGGGGAGTGTATGTGTGTGTAGGTAGGGGAGTGGTGTGTGTAGGTAGGGGGAGGTGTGTGTGTGTGTGTAGGTAGGGGAGTGTGTGTGTGTGTGTGTGGGGGGGGCGTGGAAATCACAACCTGCAACTTGTGTCATGTCAAGTAAACAATGTAAACAACAGGTTGGTCGAGCTGTGGTAGCCAGTGTGTGCGTCGCCTTAGGGAGGAAAGTCTGAGATGATGAACGTAAATATTTCAAGAGGAAGGTCGTGGCAGGGTCTCTCCCAGGATCACACAGTACGGATACACAAGCGTCCCAAGTTTGTAGAAAAATATGCAAACCGCGAAAGTTGAGGCAGAAGCAGGAAGTGGCAGGTTCTTGGTCGCATTCCTAATGTGTGTGGAAGCGATGGTGGCAACATCTGACATACACACACACACACACACACACACATCAAGGCCGAGATTTTCAAAGGGTTATATATGTTGTTTTTTCCTTCCTGCCTTTAACTTGTACCGACACAACACGTCAAAAGTTGTGTGAGAGAAGGAGAGTCTCAGTGCCATTTCTTCTTCATTTTAGCTGCCCGTTTTACGTCATGGTTTAAGTGAGTCTGTTAGATGCGCTTTATATTCCCAGTCGTGTGTGTGTGTGTGTGTGTGTGTGTGTGTGTGTGTGTGTGTGTGTTGGAGAATTCGAGACGAGAACTTGGAAACATTCGCTCAAGATTTATTATTTTTCCATTTTTATTGTATTTTTATTTTTATTTTTTTTATTCACTGATTGTTGGACGACACTAGTTTTTCTCCTTCTTCCTTTCGCCTCTTCCTTCTCCTTCTCACTGTCTGCTTCTTTTCCTCCTCCTTCTCTTCGTCTCCCCTCCTTCCTCTCTATCTTCCTTTTCCTCTAGTGTCTCCTGCCTTCACCCTTTCTCTGTTAGGTTAGGTTAGGCAAGACGTGTCACCTGAGAACGTAAATAGCTTCGTTTGTACGTGTGCTTGACTACCCAGGGGGATCGATGGTGCAACAGAGGTGGTGGTGGTAGTGGTGGAAGGGGGTGGAGTTTGGTAGGTGGGGAGGGAGGGGAGGGGGAGGAGCCTTGTTACCATGGTGACGCAAACATGGTACGTGGCTGTGAGTTCGCGAAAGTAAACAAACAGAAAACGAAATTACACGCACAAACACACATCGACTCGAGTAAACAAAAGCACACAAACATATACCCACACATACATACTAACAGACAATGCTTATGGATATACATACACAAACACAAACACCTAATCCCAAACCCATACACAAACACGAACCCATACACAAACACGAACCCATACACAAACACGAACCCATACACAAACACGAACCCATACACAAACACGAACCCTACACAAACACGAACCCATACACAAACACGAACCCATACAAATACGAACCCATACACAAACACGAACCCATACACAAACACGAACCCATACACAAACACGAACCCATACACAAACACGAACCCATACACAAACATGAACCCATATAAAACACGAACCCATACACAAACACGAACCCATACACAAACACGAACCCATATACAAACACGAACCCATACACAAATACGAACCCATACACAAATGAACCCATACACAAACACGAACCCATATACAACACGAACCCATACACAAACACGAACCCATACACAAACACGAACCCATACACAAACACGAACCCATACACAAACACGAACCCATATACAAACACGAACCCATACACAAACACGAACCATACACAAACACGAAACCCATACACAAACACGAACCCATAAACAAACACGAATCCATACACAACATGAACCCATACACAAACACGAACCCATACAAATACGAACCCATACACAAATACGAACCCATACACAAACACGAACCCATACACAAATACGAACCCATACAAACACGAACCCATACACAAATACGAACCCATACAAACACGAACCCATACAAACACGAACCCATACACAAACACGAACCCATACAAACACGAACCCATACACACAAACACGAATCCATACACAAACACGAACCCATACACAAACAACCCATACACAAACACGAACCCATACACAAACACGAATCCATACACAAACACGAACCCATACACAAACACGAACCCAAACACAAACACGAACCCATACACAAACACGAACCCATACACAAACACGACATACACAAACACGAACCCATACACAAACACGAACCCATACACAAACACGAACCCATACACAAACACGAACCCATACACAAACACACATGAATTATTCCCCTTTCTAAACACTCGTCCTGTGTAAACGAAACTTATTAATACATATATTACATACATATAATCAATAATCAGTTTCACATTACAAAATATATAACTCGTAATATTTCAGTAGCCAATAGCCGAAGTATTTTATTTTTATTTTATTTATTTATAATTTTTTTATTAATTTCTTGGTTTTTTTTAATATTACTTTAGGTTTATGTTTATTTTTTATTGTGATTTTCTTTTGTTATTTTCGATTTTTATTGATTGTTATTATTATTATTATTATTATTATTATTATTATTATTATTATTATTATTATTATTATTATTATTATTATTATTATTATTATTATTATTTAGGGAGGTTAATAGTGAGTAATATAAAGTGAAAGGAATTGTATTAGGCTTTTTTTGGTATATTTATTTGTAATGAAAGGATAAGTATGTATTATGCTAAGTGGTATAATACATTTTAGTAATTAGAGTCAATGGTGCGCGTATTAGACTACTTTAGAAAGAGTAATGGTTATGGTAGCTACCCACAACAACAACAACAACAATACCAACAACAACAACAATACCAACAACAACAACAACAATACCAACAACAATAACAACAACAACAACAATATAACACCAACAACCACAGCGCCCCCCCCCCTACCACAGAGCTAATGTGGTGATATATACCGATTGGCAGGTAGTATGCTCTCTCTCTCTCTCTCTCTCTCTCTCTCTCTCTCTCTCTCTCTCTCTCTCTCTCTCTCTCTCTCTCTCTCTCTCTCTCTCTCTCCCTTTGTCAGTACATCACACGCCATTTTCTAATCCATAATTCGTTGGCTAAATTCATGTTATGATCCTGTTAAAATCCGTTTGTCCATCTCTCCTTTAATTACCTGTGTACACCTACTTCCTTGTGTACGTCTATTTCCGTGTGTACGTCTACTTCCTTTGTACGTCTATTTCCGTGTGTACGTCTACATCCTTTGTGTACGTCTATTTCCGTGTGTACGTTTACTTCCATGTGTACACCTATTTCCTTGTGTACGTCTACTTCCTTTGTGTACGTCTATTTCCGTGTGTACTTCTACTTCCTTGTGTACGTCTATTTCCGTGTGTACGTTTACTTCCATGTGTACACTTATTTCCTTGTGTACGTCTACTTCCTTTGTGTACGTCTATTTCCGTGTGTACGTCTACTTCCTTTGTGTACGTCTATTTCCGTGTGTACGTCTACTTCCTTTGTGTACGTCTATTTCCGTGTGCACTTCTTCTTGTTTGTCGAGTAGGAAAGACATACAGACACAAAGACAAAGATAAATAGAGAGAGAGAGAGAGAACACCGCCGCCCTGGAGATGGCACCAAACTAATTTCCGGACCTTCGTCGGGCCACACCCCAAATTTCCCTACTAAAACCGTGGATTGGGTTAGGTTAGGTTAGGTTAAATTAGGGTGGGAGTAGGTTAGACTAGATTAGGTTAGATTAGGGTTACGGTAGGTTAGGTTAGGTTAGATTAGGGTAGGAGGTAGGTTAGGCTAGATTAGGTTAGATGAGGGTTAGGTTAGGTTAGGTTAGGTTAGATGAGGGTTAGGGTAGGTTAGGTTAGGTTATATTAAATTAGGGGGGTTGAATAGGTTAGATTAGGGTAGGGGGTAGGTTAGGCCAGATTAGGTTAGATGAGGGTTAGGGTAGGTTAGGTTAGGTTAGATTAGATTACATTCAGATTAGGTTAGGTCGAATTTGATTAGATTAAGACCAGGTCAGATTTCATTAAGATTAAACAAGGCCTAAAAGTAAATTATGTTATATTTCTGTTCCGGCGCCATGATGTAGTGAACACCTGGAGAACTTACACCTTGAACTCATTAAAAATATAATAAATAAATCGACCACCTAACCAAACTCAACCTAACCTAACAACTAACCTAAGCTAGCAGCTAATGTAACCTAACCTAATCTAACCTAGCCTAACGTAACCTAACCTAACCTAACCTAACCTAACCACGGCGACCTACCTGAGTGTCTTCCATCTTACCTGTCCGTTCAGGTGAGTTTTCCTCTCAAGGTGTTAAGGCTGTCACACGGTTCTCTTCCTCAACACTTAATTGTCTATTCTGTTTTCTTTTTACTTTAAGGAATATATTTCGTAAGTAACTGTAGTATTATCTAACTTAGCACTTAAAAGGATATTTTGGTTTGGCTGCAGGTACACAGGTTTGTAAGTAATTGTATCTCTCTCTCTCTCTCTCTCTCTCCCTCTCTCTCTCTCTCTCTCTCTCTGTTTATCACCGTAAAAACTACCTCAGAGTTAAAACGCTTCTCAGGTGTGTTTGATCAACCGGTAATGTCATTTATATGGTAACGAGATTCTAAACTGACGGAATATACCCCAGCCCTCTCCAGTCCTTCCTCCTCCCTCCCTCCCTCCTTCCTTCCCTCCTTCTCCTTCCCCCATCCATCTCTCCTTCATCCTCTCCCTCCCCTCTCCTATAGCCCCAAGATCACCATCCCAGACCCAGCCCTCAGAACCAGCCCTTCCTCCTCCATCCCCTCCCCCCACCTCCTGTAGCCTCCAAACCCCCACCCCCCACCAGACACCCCCCCCCACAGGACACCCCCCCTCTCCACACAGGACACCCCCCCACAGGACACCCCCCCACACAGGACACCCCCTCTCCACAGGTCCAGCCTAAATGGATATAAATACACATGAGTCAGGGTGAGAGCCTCGGGTGAGTGAGTGTGACTTTCTCTATTGACTCCTGCAAATTAAACTATGGTGAGAGAGAGAGAGAGAGAATGACATACAGACAGACAGACAGACAGACGACAGACAGACAGACAGACAGACAGACAGGCCCCTACAGACGTTCATCCAATATTCGTGAAACACCTCATTACCGTGATCGACACACTAATTTGTCAGGGTAATTAAACTGACAGGAATCATTGGCACTATTCCGTCGGTACTATTCCATTGGCACTCTTTCTTTGGCACTATCCCGTTGGCACTCTTACATTGATGCTATCCCGATGCCACGAGTCTATAAAAACTATTGTAAACTGTATGTGTGTACGTTAGGCATATGTATGTATGTTAAAATATGGATGTGTAGTCAGTATAGTATATGTGTGTTTATACGTGTGTATGTATAGGTTTGCGTGTGTGTGTGTGTGTGTGTGTGTAGGTTTGAGAATATATTAATGTGTGAATCTCCGGATGTGAGTATATATGAATTAGTAGGTGTATAATAAGCAAGCGCTGTACACCACTATATTAAAATATACTACGAGCTTAAATATGGTTTTTTGTAAATATATCAGTAATTCTTTATACAAAATACATAAAAAAAAAATATTATACCAATTGCTAAAAGGATGACGCCATTAAACAAATGACAAACAGTTAAAATATTCAAAACAAAAACATAAATATTCCAACTATTTCTGTTAGCCATTACACCACGTCTCTTCAAAACAAATAATCTTAAACACACACATTTCCTCCAGAGATTTAATATAAAAGCAATTTAAAATATGCAAGTCGTCAAGCAGTGAGCCTTTACAGTTGTGAGAGAGGGTGAAGTATGTAGAATTAAACACATAAGTTAAAATATGTAATATGCGTTTCAATATGGCGGCGAACAGGAACACTTGAGAAATTCCTGGGATTGGTTGAAATTTTTTGTCCTGACGGATTATTATAAGTGGGTGGGGTGGTATGGTGGGTGGTATGGTGTGGTGTGGTGGGGTGTTGTGGTGGGTGGTATGGTGTGGTGTGGTGGGGTGGTATGGTGGGTGGTGGGGTGTGGTGTGGTGGGGTGGTGTGGTGGGTGGTATGGTGTGGTGTGGTGGGGTGGTATGGTGGGTGGTATGGTGTGGTGTGGTGGGTGGGGGTGGGGGTGTGGTGGTGGGTGGTATGGGTGGTATGGTGGGTTGTATGGTGTGGTGTGGTGGGGTGGTATGGTGGGTGGTATGGTGGGTGGTATGGTGTGTGTGGTGCGTATTCTTGGCTTTTAATTTGACGATGATATTTACACTCAGGCGGTGCAAAGCTTGTGACTCTTGTCTGGCCCAGGTGAGAGAACTACTGGTAATATTTGATTCCTAGAAAGTTAATTAACTCTCGTACTTACCTGCCTGTATCATGGCTCTGTGTGTTGTGTGTGTGTGTGTGTGTGTGTGTGTGTTTTGTGTGTGTGTGTGTGTGTGTGTCTGCTCGTAACGTTACATACCAGTGAGTGATTACATGAGGTTCTGTAACATGACTCGCTGCTGTAATCATCCTGAGGTGTTGTCAGTAAAAAAAAAATATTACTAATTCTAAACTCAAATTAAGATTGTAATGGTAATAATACACACGCCATGTTGAATGAATTTTTGTGTATTGAAGTTTGTCCAAGGAAGAACATTATACATCATACGCTGGGTTTTCTAGAGGACTTTTTTTCTCTTTTGTGTATTGCAGTTTGTCCAAGGAAGAACATTATACATCATACACAAAGTACTGTGTGTGTGTTTTGCTTATTACATCAAGACTCTCCAGATTCGCTTCATTTAGATGTTGTTGAAAATTATATTCAGTAAATGGACAAGAATTTTTAATTTTCTAAGTGGAGTTTTAGCATTTGTGTGTGTGTGTGTGGTGTAGTGGTCAGCATGCCCGCCTCGCAAGCGAGTGGACCCGGGTTCGATCCCCGGGCAGGGTGAAACTATGGGATTCTTTACGCCATTTGCCTCTATCTGCCCAGCAGTAATTGGGAACCTGGATTTAATTGATTTGCAGATCCTGTTCCGGGGTAATGGTTAGCCAGTTGTCGAGTTGTCCGATCTTCTTGGACTATTCCTTGACACTTGGGTCATGCACTGTTAACTCGGGTGTGGTTGCTGTGTTGGCGACAGCTTCTACACCTTAAACAAATTCACGCCTAGGTGGCCTAGAACCGGGCATCCCTGTTACAAGGGGCTCATTATTATTATTATTATTATTATTATTATTATTATAATATATGTGTTTGTGTATGTGTGTAT